GAAAGGAAAGAAGGGAAAGGAAAAATGCTGAGAAATGGAAAAAATGGAAATAAAGTCTTTGTAAATAAGGAAGGGTGGAGGGGGTGAAGGGAGGGCTAGGAATGGGGAAAAAATAAACAAACAAAAAAGAGCGTATCTGGGGAATTCCGACATTTTTTAAGGAATTTACATGAATGTGTGGATAATGTACTAAAAAAGATTTGTTAAAGTCATCATCACTTGAAATCACAAAATTGTTGAACTGTCTCACATGCATATTATGATTTAATATTGATTAGTTAAAGTTATCTATAGGGAAGAAGTGGCAATATAACCTGTTTAGAGTTTGGATCTTCTATGAGTTTTAATTTGACTCTATCTATTGTTCTCTGTCAAATGCCTTGATCTAAGAAGTATTTATTTACACTAATTTACTTCTTTAAATTAAGGCAATTGAAATTGAGAATTTAAGATTGATCCTAAAAAGAGAAACAACATGACACAGTGAAATAGTAGGTTTCAATGAACCAGTCCCAATTCCATCACTTAGAGGCTGTGGGACCTGGTAGTGCATTTCTACTCTCTGGGTCTCTCCTCTCTGTATAAAACTGAAGGTATTGGAAGGAAGCTGTGCTTTTCAGCCTTAGTTCTGATGCTGCATACCTGAGATCTATACCATATTTTCCCCAGAAACAGTGGTTCATTATGAGGCCCATCCTTGGTAGGGAGTAGAGTAGAAAGAAAGTTCAAAAAACTCTTCAAGTCAATTTTAAATTTCCTCTCCCTACCCTCAATGAAAAATTTCTTCACCTGAGAGAATCTGGAATCTCTTTTGATTCTGGAACTTCTATGACAAAAGTTAATTATTTATTTTTAAATCTTTATAATTTCTACTGAAGATATACCCAAATATCTTTTTAAGTGTAAGAAAACAGAGGCTTAGAGCGACTTAGTTTCTGGCCTGAAGTCACACTGCTCCTACACAGAATAGCACAGAGAACTAACTACAAAATCCTGGTCTTCCTGGTGCGGAATGCTGGGCTTCAGTGCTCTCCAGGCACCTTTCTTAGGACATTGTTGTCCTCCTAGATTTCAAGCACAGATCAGTGCTGCAATGAACAATAGCTGAGTGATAATGAAATAGTAATTCCTAATACTAAATAAATGTCTACTGTATTTTGGTCATTGTTATATGTATTTCACATCTCCCCTATGTGATCCTAGGAGAGTTGTTCAATCTTTCTGTGCCTGAGTCTCCTCAGATGTTGCATGCCAATTATTACAGTATTGTGTCAAAGGAGTAAAAGAGTTAATTCCCACTCTCCCCCACTAGCATAGCACCTACATCCCACACACCGGAGCCAAATATTCTTCAGGTCGCTTCTGGAGATGATACTGTTGTCTCCCCTATCAAACAACTCTTATCTATAACAATAAAATTTTCCCAGTAAAACAAATTGTGCAGCAATATGGATCACCCAATACAAGGCTATATGCTGTAACCATGGAGATAGTTTTATATGTTATCTTTAAGAGATGCAGTTTTTAAAATGCCTTCCCATGAGATATGTATCCTTGACTATCCTTAACAGTAGTTCTCCTTTTGTTCATCCAATAAACTGCTGCTTTTATTGAACACTACCCTCCTTTCTTTTTCTCCTAGTTTAGCTCTCATTGTTTCCATCTTGGATTTCTTCAGCTTCATTCCACTGCCTGTAGCCACTAACCCCATTCCAAAATTAATTTCATCCTTCAACATAACTGCTGGTGATACTTACATGTGGCAGTCAGAATTCAACCAGATTAGATCCATCCTTATATTATTCCAGTAGCTTCTCACAGTTCTGGGGATTTTCTCACACTTCTTCATTTGCTACACACAAATCTTCATCAACTGTTTCTTATTCTCTTCTCCAGCATCACTTCAAACCACTCTCCTAATCTCCAGGGCCTTGACCACACTGCAGTCTGTGACCTTTTCTGTCCCTGGACTTTTCTTGCTGCTTTGCATATCTGTGCTTTGAACATACAGCTCTGTCTTCAAGTGATGTTCTTTTGTAAATCTCCCTCAGTACTTCACTGTGACCCTTAAACTGAACATCTTCTCACTCAAGATACAGCGTAAGCACTGCTGACACCAGAAAGACTCTGTTGACAACTTCCCCAACTCTTTGGAATTTGGTTTGCCATATCGCCATGTGCTAACCTCAATCACTACTCCTGTTAGGTTGACCTGTGACATCTTTGAAAACAGAAACTGTTGTTTTCATCTCTGTATTTCCAAGGCATGCTTGACACATAGTAGACACTAAATTCTCCTATGTTGAATGAGTCGATGGATGGATGGACGGCTAAAGGGATGGATGGGTGGATATCAAATTCTCATGTGACTCACATTTCCATAGAAATACATAAACTAATTCACATGACCTTCCTCCAAAACATAGGAAGCATAGTGTTGTATTTTAGTGCTAACAAATGAAGAAAATTGGTAAACTTTTGCTTTTAACAAGACAGCTATAAGCCTGCATTTATCACGCGTCAATGATTACAATGAGAGAAAGGATGTTAATCCCATTCACACAAAAATACTATAGGAGAGTGTAAGCAACCCACGGTCTGTCTCTATATTTGTTATATCAGAAAAGATCCTGGTACAAATTATTTTTTCTATGAAATTTAAGTGTCATTTAAAAATTATTTTACTTGAAGCAATACATTTATGGATTTATGTTTTAATAATTTTTATATTGTTTTTATTTTTATTACCTTCCCCCATCCCTATATTTTAAGTTCCACACAATGCAGGGATAGATATCATGCCAACAGTAGCATATGTGCTGCTAAATTCAACATATGGGAAGAGGTGAAAGAGGAGCTTTAAAAATGATCAATTTACCATTTTTAGAATTTTTTGAAATATGAGTCCTGGCACCTCAATTTTGACACTTATAAAAAACATGCTTACAAAGCTATATCTGTAAGTGCTAAGGGAAAAAATCAAGAATAAAACATGGTGCTGTGAATGATCTGATCAGGAGTTTAACCATTTCCAATTGTGCTATCTTGTCTGTGCTGGACCAAACTGGGGCAAGGGAGGGTCACAGGACAGACAACAGTAGAGGCTGGAAGGTTGGGTCTGACCACGGAAAAGCCACCCACAGAAGACTTCCTTCATTTGTGTTCTTACAACCACCTGCCCAAATCTACCTGGGCTTTTGAACAAGCTCCAAGCTTAGTCCTGGTCAACACTACCATCTCCTATAAACTACTGACCTGGCTTCAACAGCCCTTCATTTTCTTCCCTGCCATGCTCTTTGAAATTTGAGGCCTTGTTTGCTAATACACAAAATATGTCAAGGATATTGCTACACCCTGTGTTAATTTAATTAAGGATTTTAATGAAGCAGAAAATTAATCAAAAGGTTGTCAGAAGAATATGTCAAAATCACTCTTTACCAATTTCAACATACTGTTTCACGATCTTTCAGCTGTTTCTGGCAGCGCCCTTTATGAAAATACTAGAACAGACTGGATGGAGTAGAAACAGAAATCTTCAAAAAAGGACAAAGAGAAATCCATTTTCTTTGTCCATAAAATGGTATTGTAATCTTTATTTATTTTCAGGCCAATAGTGAAGAATAAGCCATGGTATCTTAAAGAGCTCAGAGACATGGAAGGATTCTGAAAAAAATGCAAATCGTGTTTGCTATCATCTTTTTCTCCAGAGAGTCTTTCAGGATCCCTACTCGTAAATTCCCAATTTCTGTGTCCTTGTAATACTCTAAAACTACTTTAAATATGGCCTTTGCTTTCTCTTTTTGGTAAACAGGAAATTGTCTTAATAATTTGTAACATCTCCACTTCAATGGTGAGTAATTTGATTGAAAAAAATAAAATATAATTTCTATACACAGAATTTATACTTTATTTAATATAGTCCTGAAAATTTTGGCAAATGTATACAGCCATGTAACCATCACCACGAGAAAGATCTATTGTGCCGAAAACTTTCCCAAGTCTCTTTGCAGCTGATCCTTATCACACTCTGCTATTCCTATAAACATTTATCTGTTTTCTGCCCGTTTCTGCTTTTTAAAACAATGTTAAGCAAATAGAATCACAATATGTAGCTTGTTGATCCTGACTTCATTCACTGAGCAGAACACGCTTGAGGTTCATTCATGACGTTACATGTAGTTCCTTAATTTCATTGCTGGAGAGTTGTCCATTTGATAGACATGCCTTTGTTCATCTGAGAGACATTTGGGTTATTTTCAATTTGAGGCTATTATATATAAAGAGGTTCTTGCATGAATATAAATTTTTATTCCACTGGGGCAAATACCTAAGGATGGGATCATTGGACCTCATGGTGAATTTAAGTTATACTTCATCAAAGTTTACTTCATAAAACATTGACTGAACTGGTTTTCAGCATTTCAGAGTGGTTGTACCTTTTCTGCAATCCTACCAACAATAGATTCCTACCAGTACTTGGAATTATTCTTTTCTTTTTAAAATTTTATCCACGCCAATATGTCAATTAGTGGTATCATATCCTGATTTTAAGTTGCATTTCCCTAGTAATTGATGTTGAGGAGTTTTTCATACCTTATTTTTGTGGTTGTTATCAGGTTGCTGTAACAAAATGCTGGAGTGGTCTATGAATAACAGAAATTTATTTTTCACACTTTAGGAAGGTGGGAAGGCCAAGAAGCCAGAAGATTCTCTCCTGAGGGCCCATTTTCTGAAGCACAGATGATATTTACTGTAATTTTAAAGTTACACAGGAGTTGCAAAGAAGTTCCAAAGGCGTTTCTGAGGACTCTTAGGACACTAAACAGATTCATGAGGGCTCCATGCTCAGGACATAATCACCTCCCAAAGGTTTCCCTTCCAAATACCATCACATTGGGCATTAGGATTAAACAAATTTGGGAGACAGCCACACATTCAATCCACAGGACCGTATTTCTTTCTCTTATTTACTATACCAAGACCTCCAGTATTGTGTGGAATAGGAGCAGCCAAAGCAGATAATCCTTGTTTTTCTTGGGTTTCATAGAGTGAGATGCACTCTAACTTTCCATATTAAGTGAACTGAATCAGGTTAAGGAAATTCTATTCCTACATCATGAATAGAAGTTGATTATGTTAAGTAATTTTTTTGCGTGTCTTGATATCACATGAGTTTTTTCCCCCACCAGTTGATATGGAGTATATGCAATGATTCTAGAATATGGAATCAATGTGACATTCCTGGGTTTAAACTTCACCTGGTCTTGAAGTTATGCTTTCTCTATATCATCGGATACAATTTGTAAAGTATTTTGCATGCCTGATCAGTTTAGCTAGAGTTTATCAATTTTATTCATCTCAAAGACCCACCTTATGGCTTCATCAATTTTTCTGTAATTTTTATCTTAATTTTACTGACTTTTATTTCTAGTTTAGTGGAGTTTTTTCTTCTATTTACTTTCGGCTTAATTTGCTCTTTATTTTGTAATGTCTTAGTGGGAGGCTTAGGTTACTCATTTGAAATCTTTTCTAATGTTAGTATATATTTAGTGCTATAAATGTTCCTATAAACATTTGCTTTCAAATTGTGAAATTTTGTGACTTATTTCCATCCAGTTGAAAATATTTTTAATTGTGCTTATAGGTTATGTAGAAATGTGTTATTTAGTTTTAAAACACATGAGGATCCTCCAAATAATATTATGGTTGTTATTTGTAAGTTCTCTGTTATCAGAAAACATAATTTAAGAAATGAGTATTTTTAAATTCATTAAGACTTAGTTTACAGTCCATAATTTGTTCTATCTAGGTAAATGTTTTATATATACATGAAAGGAATGTATATCCTGAATTTGGATGAAATATTTTATAAATATCACTATAATCATGTCACTGATACTATCGAAAAAAGTCCCTATATGATCACTAATTTGTAGACATATGTCTATTACTAAGACAGGGTATAATGTCCTCCATTACACTTGTAGTTCTATCATTTTTTGCTTCATATATTTTGAATTTGAAGCTCTGTTAATAGATGCAATATTTCTAATATGTCTAAGTTCTCTTAATAAATTGATATTTTTATGTTTATGAAACCATATCCCTGGTCATTTTTTTTTGAAGTCTAATTAGTCTAATATTTACACAAGCACTTCAGCTTTCTTTTGATTATTTTATTATGGCATAAACATTTCCACCTTTATTATTTTAACCTAATTTTGTCTTCATAGTATATACCTTGTAGGTAATACATTGTTAGTCATGCTTTTTACGCAATCTGAAATATTTGTCTTTCAATTGGAGTGTTCAATTCGTTTAAATTTAATATGATTATTGATATAGTTATATTTATAGCTATAGTGCTGATCATTATTTTCTATTTATCCCATCTATTTTTGTACTCCTCTGTTTTTCTGTATCATGTTGATTGTGTAATTTTTTCAAATTCTTTTTAGCATATGGGCCACACAGTTTCAGTAGTTACTTTGGTGTTTTTTATAAACATTTAACTCATCACCATGTAGCTCTAAATATTATATAACTTCACATATTTTCAATCTTACAATACTATACTTCTATATCCCTGCAGCTTTTCTGAATTTGTAAATATTAAATTTTAATGTCTTCATACATTTTTCTTAACATGTTCAGGGGTTGTTCTACATTCTTGAAAAGGACAAAATTGTAATTAATTTACTAGTTGTAACTAATATACTAATTTACTAATCTTGTCATCCATACAATGTGGAGATGCATTTTGACTCATGGATTTTTTTCTTCACACTATGGTTTATATTTCATATTTCTTCACATCTCATGTAATTTTTTTATTGGATGTCATACTTTGTAAATTTTGCATTGTTAAGTAATGGGTATTCTTTTCTTCTTTA